GGGGGATGGGTTAGCCTGGTGATGGGTATTAAAGAGGGCACGTTCTGCATGGAGCACTGGGTGTTATACACAAATAATGAATCATGGAACACTACATCAAAAACTAATGATGTAATGTATGGTGAATAACATAACATAATAAAATAAAAAAACAGAAAGCATAAGGCAGCTTCAAAAGGTGACATCACATTGATACCTAAGTATTTTGTGTGTTTGGTTCCATTAAAAATTGTGTTGAGTGACTGGTGTGTGTAAGATACTTACAAAAATAAAATATGCTTGTCCCTCCTGTCATGGTGGACCCCACATTCAAGTAAGTGTTCAGTTAATTTATACAAGAGCATCTAAATGTAGAATTATTGTAGCCTAATACGTATCTTGTCTTAGAGTTACTGGTGTGATGATTTCCATGATGCCAGGATTTGAATCCCAGGACAAATTCTTCTTTGTCATGGGAGAGCCATTTAGCTGGAGAGCTGGAGCAGGGTACCAGGCCTCCTTACTCTCAGGTTGGACTTCTCCCTGACTTGAAATGGCCTTACTTATTTATTGTATGGATTTATCTCCCAGTCTTAAGCTGTGAACTTTGCAAAGGGTATTATGACTTATTGTTACTTTTTTGGATATTCATCTCTGTATTTTATCCTTTTTTTTTTTTTCTGTTAAGATTTCAAACACAGCACTGCAAAGTCTAGACACAATTGAGAACAAAACGGAAATGCCACCTAGACACGTCTTCATTGTGGTTAGGGTACCGAATTTTGACCTATGTGGTTTGGTGGAAAGAATCACCGTGCATTTATTCTGGTCTGTTGCAGGTTAACGAAGCCCTTGTCATTTGCTGATTGTGTTGGGGATGAGCTGCCGTGGGGCTGGGAAGCAGGGTTTGACCCACAGATTGGCGTCTACTACATCGATCATGTCAACAGTAAGTTTGTCTTTTTTGTAAAAGTAACCCCCGCCCCAAATCTGGAATCATACAAAAGGGTAAACACTCTACATAGTAAATTTTTCTATTTTAAACCCCACTTTCTCAGTGACTAATGTTACCAGAAATGCCCGTTTTGGAATCGGGGGCATGTATGTACATTGGCCTTATGGGGGCAGAGACAGAGAAATGAATCTGTGTGTGTGTGTGTGTGCGGTAGGGGTGCGTGTTCTCGAGCGAGGGGTGGGGGCCAATGGGGACCATGAGCCATCCCGTGACCACTGCCCTTCAGAGTGGGGTTCCTCTTTTCTTGTCTTGCCACAGAGTTAGGCATGCTGGGCATGCGTACAGCCAGGTCCGTTGGCTTTGTGTGTGCTGTGGTGGGGAGGGGATGGCTGACATTAGCACCTCTAGAAGATGCAGCTCTACCGCGGGAAAGACCTAAACCCTTGTTTTGTTTTTGTTGCCTGATTTCTTTGTGGTTGCAAGGGGAGCACCTCTCATTTTAACAGCTTTTTAATCTGTCAGATCACTGGCATGGTAAGGCTAGGGCAGAGGATTGCTGTGACCATTAACAACTTTTTAAAACACATACTCGAAGTATTGTTTATATGTCTGTGTGTGTGTGTGTGTGCGCGCGTGTGTGTGTGTGCGTGTGGGTGTGTGAGTGTGTGTATATTTACTCCCTACCCACCCCTTTAAAAAATTTATTCAGATGGATGCATGTAATACTCACTGATACTCATTTTGCTTATTTCACTTAAAAGTGAGGATTTTGAGGGGCACCTGGATGGCTCAGTTGGTGAAGCATCTGCCTCCGGCTCAGGTCATAATCTCGGGATCCTGGGATCGAGCCCCATGTCGGGCTCGCTGCTCAGCAGGGAGTCTGCTTCTCCCTCTCCTCCCACCTTGTGCTTTCTCTCAGTATCTCTGTCTCTCTCTCTCAAAAAAATAAATAAAATCTATTTTTATTAGAGTAATATATAATGATTTATACTCTATCTTATTTCTCATAGGTCTATTATATTAAAAATTTACATAATATAGTACTCTTTAGGGGCACCTGGGTGGCTCAGTCATTAAGCGTCTGCCTTCGGCTCAGGTCATGATCTCAGGGTCCTGGGATCGAGCACCGCATCAGGCTCCCTGCTCAGCGGAGAGTCTGTTTCTCCCTCTGCCGCTCCCCCTACTCATGCTCTTGCTCTCTCACGCTCTCTCTCTCTCTCAAATAAATAAATACAACCTTTAAAAAATATATATAGTGCTCTTTAATATCTTTAAGAATAATATTCTTATAAAAAAGTATCTTATTTGATGCTTGGTTATTAGTGATGGCTTGCAGCTGCCCTCGTGTAGGTATATGATAAGTTTTTGAGAGACACAAAAAGCCCATATTAGTAACAGTACTCTTAGAAACCTAAGAACGTTCAATATATAAAATCTGCTCACAGTACTTACATCAAATTTGAGAAAATATCCCCCCACTGATTCTCTGTCAGGGTCTTTTTTTTGATCTGAGCAAATCCTCGCCTCCCAGGATGATTGGGAAGGGTTCCAGAACTGATGGAGCTACCCAACTCATGCCTGACATCTGTAGAGGCTGAAGGCATGCGGTGCTTGCTGAGGTGGGGAAGAAGGCTTTGTGTCCCCCGGCGATCTGCTGGGAGGCTCCAGCCCCAGTGCGGTTGGGACACAGGAGTGGCTTCCAGCAGTTCACACTGTGAGGAGGGGCTCTGCCTGGGAGACCACCAAGAGTGTACAGTAAAATGCTCCCCTGCAACCCCGCGGCAGCCGGCGAGCCGGACAAGAGGGTAGTTAGGATGTCCGGCATGGGGGGTGTTTGTTACCATGCGGTGGGCATGCAGGCATCATGGTGAGTCACTGCATGCTGGAGGGCTGTAAAGTTGTCCTGTTCTCACACGTAGATGGGATGGAGGGATCGAAGGAGCAAGGACTTGGAAGAATTAAGTCAGTCTTTCCGCGAACACAGCTCGTAATCTGTTGGAGGAGAACATCCGGCGCATAGAGTTTGGGAATCAGCGTTTATGTACACATTAGTTCAACGTAACTACAAGAGTTTCTGTAAGCTTTACTGGCTTGTAAAATATGATTAGAAGAAATGTGATTTTTGTGTAGAGACATCTCTCCCTGACAGCTTATACAGATCCCATGAAGAATTCATCATTGTGGGTTTTAAAGTTAGCTTTCATTTTTATATTTTTTAGTAAACCTTTCTTGATTGTATTGTTATTTGTGGGTTTTATTGCTTATCAATGATCGACATCCAAATATTTTAATGTTATAATGGAAGTGACTACTTTTGGTAAAATTCATTGCATTTTGAACAGTTGAAACTCCTGATGTCATTGCAAATAAATAATTCAGTGGACTATCCGGAGTGTATAACTAAGTCGCACTTTCATACAAGTTTAGGTTTTTTTTCCTTAAATAATATTTGTGGAAGCAGAAACAAACCTCCCTCTCCTGGTTCAACAGAACCAGCCTCTCATGGCACCGAAATAAGAAGCTTAATTCCCTCAGCTTCCCTCTGGCTACCTGTAGAGTCTAAGGTTCCTAAAGCCATCTTTCCGGCTTTCCCTCCTATCTCAGTGGAAAAGGGATTCTCCTGGACCCCCACCCCCGAGAGCCCTCTGAATAGCTTTTATTTTTTAAAGATTTTATGTATTTATTTGAAAGAGAGAGAGATGGTGAGAGAGACTATGAGTGGGGAGGAGAGGGAAAAGCAGACTCCCCACGAGCAGGGAGCCCGATGCGGGACTTGATCCCAGGACCCCGGGATCGTGACCTGAACCGAAGGCAGATGCTCAACTGACTGAGCCACCCAGACACTCCTCTTAATAACTTTTATGTCCCATCCTTCTCTTTCGTTTCTTTACCCATCATTTTCTGGTTTTAAAAATTTCTCCCAGCATTTCTTTATCTAGTGGTTCTTTTGTCTTCATATTTAAACACTGGAAGCTCTCAAAATGAAACCAAACCAAAACTACCGAAAGAAACAAATAACAGCTCTCTTTCCCCAACCCCATTTGTATTCAAAAACTGTCTTTCAGCCCGAATCCCTCACCAGCTGTAGCCCTCTTTTTTCTCCTCCCCCGGGAAGCTTGCTTGAACTGCACTGTGGACACTGGACTCCGTCTTGTCACAGAGACGGGGCTCACCTGAGACCCCACAAATGGTCACATCCAGACAACATCTCTTCCTTCATCCGACAAGAGTCTCTTGCCACCGTGGGTTATTTCCTCTTCTTCTTGACTCCTTTGGATTTCACAATACCTTCTATTGGAATTTCTTTCTTTTTTTTTTTTTTTAATCATGTCCTGCTGCTCTTACCCCCTTTCCTTTTGTCTGTCCCCGGCGTCAAGATTTCTGTAGTCGCCTTCTGTCTGCAGCCTGCAGATCCCCTTGGGTGATGACCTCAGTTACTTCCTGAAGCCGATGGCTGCCAAATGGGTCTCGTAAGTCTCGTCCCGAATTCCACATGCATGCAGTTGATTCTTACAAGGTGGATCTTTCCAGTCTGCCCCCACTAGCGTGCCCTCCACCGGCTTGCCCTGCCACCGGAGGGTGTTGTCCCTGCGTCGTGTGCTTCCTTGGCTTTCTGCCTCCCTTTGCGACGGCTGGTTCCAGCCCTGAACACTCTCTGCCCAGCGCCTGGGCCCTCCCTTTTGGCCACGTCTGTCCAGGGCCCCTCTGCCCAGGCCTCGCTGCTTCCCATCGGCCTTCTCGGGCGTGCAGGTCCCCGCCCCCATTCCGAATAAGGTGCCCTGTCCAGGTATTTCTGTAGTGCCAGGCCCTTAGGGATTTTTAAAAAAACATTTGTCACATTGCATTTAAATTCTTTATTTGTCTGTTTTCCTCACTAAATTGTGAGCTTCTTGTGGACAGTGACTGCAGCTTCATTTCTTTATACTTGGGTACCTTGTATTATGATGAACTCTTAAACGTTAGAAGGACGGAAGAGCTTTATTGTTTTACTCGCACACTGAAAGCTTTCTGTTTGTTTTTGAAGAAAGTAAAGTTCAAGGATAAATTACGCTTCAGAGCGTACGCTTCTGAATATTTAAAAACTTAATTATTAGAATACAGGTTTTTAAGTCTACCATTTTGCTTTATGCAATAACGGTATCCCAGTGGCCTGATGGATTTACTGTGCCCTAAAGTGCCCAAATTACCCACAGCAAGTAGTTTTCCCACTAAAAAGGATCTGGTCCATTATCTCATTAATCTTAAAGACATTCCTGGGAAGTAGTTTAGGGAACAAATGGTATTATCGTCTCATAACAGCTGGTCCACACATATGTTGTGTCTTGACATTGTATAGTTTCAGCATTATTTTCTATTTACAAAAAAAAAATGAAATAAAGCCTGTTTGGCTGTTTAATACTATTTCTGTGTAACACTATTAAATATCTAGATGTAAAAGATTTGACCTTGACAATGAGTATCTTTGGCCTTAAGTGTTTTATGATATAGAATTCTTTAGTGAGTTTGTGTGGAGTGGGGGTATAGATATTGGTGGGGGATATTTGTAACTAAAAGGTAATTATGAAGTGCTGTTTATAAGGTTTTGATTATTATCACCATAAGTAGAAATAAATCACTTTTTGGGTAGCTTTAGAGTTGTACCTTAATTTTTTTGTCTTTCTTTTGGTAATGGAGGTCTCATTTACACATTTACATTAAAAAAAAACACACAGCTTTTCCTTGTGCATTTCAGTGAATTGTGGCAAATGTATAAATCTTTTGTAACTGCCTCTCCAGTCAAGATGCAGAATAATCTCATCATCCCAGTAAGTTCTTTCCTGTCCCCTTCCCCTTACCCCTTCCCCACTGCTGCAGATTGTTCTTATTTCTGTCACAGTGCCTTAGTTTTGCCTGTTCTGGAACTTCGTATAAACCGAGTACATTCGATTCTGTGGATGGAATCTTTCACTCAACGTATTTTTAAAGGAAAAGACTGCTGATACAATATCGTGGAT